GTATTGGGTGCATATATATTTAGAATAGTTAATTCTTTTTGTTGCATTGATGCCTTTACCATTATGTAATGCCCTTCTTTGTCTTTATGATCTCTGTTGGTTTAAAGTCTGTTTTGTCAGAGACTAGGATTGCAACTCCTGCTTTTTTTTTTCTTTGCATTTGCTTGGTAAATATTTTATTTTGAGCCTATGTGTGTTTTTTTTTTTTATATGGGTCTCCTGAATACAGCCCACTGATGGGTCTTGACTCTGTCCAATTAGCCAGACTGCATCTTTTAGTTGAGACATTTAGTCCATATACATTTAAGGTCAGTATTGTTATGTGTGAATTTGATCCTGTCATCATGATGGTAGCTGGTTATTTTGCACACTAGTTGATGCAGTTTCTTCATAGTGTCATTGGTCTTTACATTTTGGTGTATTTTTGCAGTGGCTGGTACTGTTGTTTTTGTTTGGTTTTGTTTATTCGGTTTTCTTTGTTTTTTTGTTTTTGTGTTTTCTATATTTAGTGCTTCCTTCAGGAGCTCTTACAAGGCAGGCCTGGTGGTAACAAAATCCCTCAGCATTTGCTTGTCTGGAAATAATTTTATTTCTCCTTTGCTAATGAAGCTTAGTTTAGCTGGATATGAAACCCTGGGTTGAAAATTCTTTTCTTTAAGAATGCTGAATATTGGCCCCCAATCTCTTCTGGCTTGTAGATTTTCTGCTGAGAGGTCCTCTGTTAGTCTGATGGGCTTCCCTTTGTAGGTGACCAGGCCTTTCTCTCTGGCTGCCCTTAACATTTTTTTCCTTCATTTGGACCTTGGAGAATCTGAAAATTACGTGTCTTGGGGTCAATCTTCTTGTGGAGTATCTTAGTGGTGGTCTCTGTATTTCCTGAATTTGCACGTTGGCCTGTCTTGATAGGTTGGAGAAGTTCTCCTGGATAATATCCTGAAGTGTGGTTTCCAGCTTGTTTCTATTCTCCCCACCTCCTTCAGTTACTCCAGTCAATCACAGATTCAGTCTTTTTATGAAGTCCCATATTTCTTTGAGGATTTGTTCGTTCCTTTTCATTCCTTTGTCTCTAATCTTGTCTGCATGCCCTATTTCAGAAAGGTGGTCTTCAAACTCTGACATCCTTTCTCCTGCTTGGTCTATTTGGCTGTTGATAGTTGTGTGTGCTTCACAAAGTTTTTGTACTGTGTTTTTCAGCACCATCAGTTTATTCATGTTCCTCTCTAAGTTGGTTATTCTAGTTAGCAGCTTCTCTAACCTTTTATCAAGGTTCTCAGCTTCTTTGCTGAACATGCTCCTTTAGCTCAGCAGAGTTTTTTATTGCCCATCTTCCGAAGACTACTTCTGTCAGTTTGTCCATCTCATCCTCCGTCCAGTTCTGCGCCCTTGCTGGAGAGGCGTTGGGATCATTTGGAGGAGAAGAGGCATTCTGGCCTTTTGGGTTTTCTGCATTTTTTCGTTGATTCTTTCTCATCTTTGTGAGTTTGTCTAATTTCGATCTTTGAGCCTGCTGACCCTTAGATGGAGTTTTTGGGAGCATTTTTGTTGTTGTTGATGCTGTTGCTGTTGTTGCTTTCTGTTTCTTTGTTTGTTTTCCTTTCAATGGTAAGGTCCCTCTTCTGTAGGGCTGCTGAGGTTTGCTGAGGGTTCACTTCAGGCCTTATTCATCTGTTTTGCTCCTGAGCCTGGAGATGTCAGTAAAGGAGGCTGGAGAACGGCAAAGATGGGTGGTGTGGTCCTTTTTCTCGGACCTCTGACCTCGGGGGCACCAACCTGGTGCCAGTATAATCGCTCCTGTATAGCGTGTCTGACAACCCCTGTGAGAGAGTCTCACCGAGTTGGGTGGCATGGGGAATGGGACCTTTTTAAGGAAGTACTTTGTCCTTTGATGGAGGGGGTGTGCTTCACTGGGGGGAAACCCACTCATCTGGTCTGCCCTGATTCCTCAGAACTGCCAAGAGGAAAGGCTAAGTCTGCTGGTCTGCAGAGACTATGGCCACTCCACCCCCTAGAGGCTCTGGCCCAGGGAGATCTGCGTCCTGTCCCTGAGCCTCTGGCTGGAGTTCCTGCAGGGAAGCCCCACCCAGGGAGGAAGGATGTGTCAGGGTCAGGCCTGAAGAGGCGCTCTGCCCCTCTGCAGCAGTCTGCCACAGCCAGCGTGTTGAGCTGTGGAGGACACTTCTTGGGGACCAAGTAGTCCAGCCTCCCTGGCTCCAGCAGGGGAAAAGCGCAGCCTGGAGCCATAGAGATGGATACCGCCCCTCCCCACCAATCCCCCTGCGTGTTAGGCAGTTATGAGTCCCAGTAATGGCTGCTGCCCCTCCCACAAGGAGCTCAAAGAGCTTATACAGCAGGCAGCTGCAGCTGTGGTACTGGTCGCCCCCCGCCCTGGGGGCTCCGCAGAGTTAGGCAGATTCTAGCTGAGAGGCTGTTGAGAATCTGCACGGCTCTGGGGTTGGGACCCCAGGCCCCGGTGGCATGGGTTCGCGAGTGGGATCTTTCGCTCTGTGGGTTGCACCGCTCCCTGGAAAAAGCACGGTTTCCCCTGCTGGGTAGCACGCCTACCTTGGCTGGGGGGTGGGGACTCCTCTACCCCGTGTGGCTCTCAGGAGGGCCGCCACATCACATTGCTCTTCCTTTCTCTCCATGGATCACGTCACCTGCCTAGTCGGTTCTGACGAGAGAACCTGGATACCTTGTTGCAGGTGAAGGATTCAGATGCTAATTATGGTTCTTTTCGATTCCCACTGACCACTGCTGTTTCTAGTTGGCCATCTTGGCCCCACCCCTCCAGATCCAGCTTTTCCTAAAGTCATTTCCCTTGGAATTCCCAGTTGAGCCAGTAAGTTCCCCATTCTGAAACTGAATTTATTGTCTCTTGCAACTCAAAGATTCCTGGAAAACTTATCCTATTTGGTGAATTATCCCAAAGGATACTAACTTTCCTTTTTAACCTTAACTGACAGAAATTGTAATAATTAAGAAATCACATTTATGACTTTTATATGTGATTTTATGAGCATATAATTTATCTCAATAAGCTTTGCTATTGGGAAGAAACCCACAAGTAGATAATGTGTGGATTCATTTGTTAATTTAGAGTGAAAGGAACACTATATGTAAAACTGTTGATAAGAGTTCATGGAGAATAAGAATGAACATTAAGGTGTGTTTATTAATTAGCACATTTGTCAATGGTTTTTTTCAACCTCTTTTACCTGACATCTCCTTAGAATACAAACACATGTGAGTACTCACCTCCCCCCAGGTGTATGCAGTAAGAGATTAATCAGATTCCAAAAGAGATCAGTAATTCTACTCATCTGGTCTAAAAGATCCTGGGACACTATCAATCTCCTTTTGTAGTAGCATAAAGCCCACCATCTCAATAAATCTACTGTTCATTACAGAGTGTTTTCTATGTGCCAGCCACTATGCTGAGAGCTTGATATGCCAAACATTTCATTGAAACCTCACAAAACCCTATTATGAATCTTATTTATTACAGGTTAGGCAACTGAGCTTCCTGCAAATTAAGCATTTCGCCAAGGTCAGCTAGAAATAGAGACCTGGATTTTTAATCATGCCCGTATGACTTCAAAATCCGTGACCTTAGCCACTATATTATTTTTCAGTTCATCATTTTCTCACAATCCCATCCCTTGTCCACCATCATGATTACCAATTGAGCTCAACAGACTTTGGAGCCAACTAACTCAATTCAATTTCCTGAGGTTCTGGCCCTGTTCTTCCCCACACTGCCCTCTTTCCTCACCTCAGTGCCAGGATTCTCCAACTTCCCAGGTCTCCAGGATTCATCTCAGGAAGCAACTACCCAGGGAGATTAAACCTCAGTGCGGGAAAAGGAAAAGAGAGCATACAAGGAATCCTCAAGTTCTTTTTAAATGATATGTCCTAAAACACATTCTTTAAACCATCTTCCTCTTTAAACCAACTTCTCCCCCAAAACAGGTAGCGAATCTCAAGTTACTGGGATAGCTTCCTCAAATGTGGTATCCAATGAATTGCTAACTTCTTCAAATTCCTCCTGCAAGATTATTCCTTTCTAATTCTACTTACAATATTTATTGTATTACCTTCTCTCCTTATTGTAAGTTCTTCCTACCCTGTTTCTCTGTATCTGATTTCTCACTCTCTGATTCCCCTTGGAGAGTAAGCTCAAAGCTCCTTTTTATCCCATTACTTACCAGCTCAGAAATTTTATCTGCTCCTATTATTTGCTGAGTATGCTCAAAAATTTTAACATAGCTTATAAGGACTTGCATAAACTGGTCTCTGCCTACATTTCCCTCCCTTTATCCTTCCACTTTCTACATGTGCTATTCTAAAGTATCCTGGTTGCTGGTCCCTGAACTCAGCTTGCTTTCTCAACTTCATGATCCTATTCACATTGCTTCCTCAGCGTGAGATGTATTTTCACTTGTCTTTGCCCACAGTGATCCTATTTTATTCTTAGAGACCCAGATCACGTTCCATTTGTTCTGAAACCCCAAGGAGAAATTGCTCCTCTTCTTCTGAACACCTGAGGAGCTTACTGACATCACTGTATCCTTGATATTTATCCTATATTGCCTTGTACTGCAGCTGTGGGGTGGGTGTTTAATTCCTTTCACCAGGTATTAAATTTTAAAGAGCAGGACTTATAACTTACATATCTTTATGCCCCACACAACACCTGGCCTAGTGCACTGGGTTTAAGTGATACTGACAGATGTACTAACTGAGTAAATGAAATATATAAATAGGTAAAAATGCTATGGTAGTAAGCATCTAAGATGGCCCCAAGGATTCTAGCCTCCTGATATTCATGTTTTTATATAGTCTCCTTCCACACTGAATAACCAATAAAATATTGCAAAAATGATAGAATGTGACTTCCAAGGTGAAGTCATTAAAGATACTGTGGCACTCCAATCTTATGGAGTGGTTCACATGGTGGGAAACTGAGGCCTCCCACCAACAGCCAGCACCAACTTGGTTACCTGAAGGAGCCATCGTAGAAGTGAATCCTTCAGTCTCAGGCAAATCTTCAGATGGCTGCAACAACAGGTGACATCTTTATTACAGTCTTTTGAGAAACCCTAAGCCAGAATCACTCAGCTACAAGTTGCCAGAGATAATGTATGTCTGTTATTATTTCAAGAATCTAAATTTTAGGGTAATTTGTTACACAGCAGTCAACAACTAATACAGAAGCCCATTGTAATAGCTATAACCACAAGCATTAAAAAGTCCAGAAAACTTCCGTTGGGTTTCAGGGAAAAAAATATAAACAAAAATGAGACGTTATAAAGAAAGAAAACACTTCAAAAAAAAAAAAACCTGAGTTGTGCATTTAAGGTATTCCTGTTGCTAGAAGACTACGAAAGATTGTTTTCAGTCTTCAGGTCTCTGCATGTTTCTGATGTGTGAGTCAGAATCTCTAGGTATGTTTGTAATTTTAATGATCAAGCATACAATAAGTATTAATAATTATCATTTCCTTAGCATTCCTATGTGCTAGAAACTGTTCTAAGACCTTTCCAACAACCCTACAATACTGGTACTCCTATTACTCCCATTTTACAGAAAAGGTTACTGAGGCCTACAGCAATTAATTAACTTGCTCAAGGTTTCAGAGGTGGTAGTTGGTGGACTGATTTTGCATGCACACAGCCTGGATTTACAGCCCACACTCTGAATCACTATGCTACATGAAACATCAGGCTTCCTTTAAGAATTGGCATTATAGCCAACATTTCAAAGAAATCATTTAAAGTATCAAAAAATAAAATCATTGTAATAGCTGTTTAAAATCAGTGAATATAACTAATTCATAGATTGGCCCCAGCAACACTTACTTGGTTAAAAGATGTTTTTACCTTACTTCTTTTGATGGTTAAAACCGTGAAGTAACACTGAAAGCTGAGAAGCTGTCTTATTCTGTACACTGTCAAGAGACACTCTTAAAATCTTGAGTATATTTACCTCCAGCCTAGTGGGATTTGAAGCATCTTTTTGACTCAAGTTGGGTGCATCAAACAGTGATGCTTGAATCCAGACTGCAATTGTTGGTTTTCCAAGTATGATAAAATCCATTTTACTTTTTTGTTGAAGTCTAGAAGGAACATGGCAAATAAAAAGAAAAGTATAAATTAAGAGATATTTTCATTCAGACTGTTTTGAAGAGATGCTGTTCAAAATCTTGAGGAAGACATGAAAATATATAAGACCCTGTCCCCAAGAGAGTATACTTCCCTCCCCTTCCCTCCATCCCTACTCTCCTAAGCTAACCAGTTTATGTCTCTTTCCATATTTTCCCTATGTCCACACAAATATTTGCAAACAGAAGTACTATATATACATACACACACATATATATATACACACATACACACACACAGAGTGTTTTGTGGTGACTGTCATTATTTGTTTTATAAAAATGAGATCTCAAACACTATATATTACCTTTCAACTGAATATTTATCCTTACTAATATATTTTATAGATATTCCATTAGATCAATAGATAAAAGAGTTAACTCAGTCCTGATAAAAACTGCGGAATGGTACACAACTATATGTTAGTTTATTCTACCATTATTCTATTAATGATCATTCAACTTCTCTGTAGAAACTTTTGCCACTACAAAAAGCACCAGAGTTAAACATACATATGACCTACATTCTCCTTTTCTTTCTGCAGGATGAATCTTGCTAATAGAGTCATTGGGTCATGGATATGTGTTTTTAAATTGTAATAGAAATTTATGGATTATTTTTTATAGCAAGATTATAATACTCCACATTGTCAAACACCAAAGCAATCCATGAGGATGTCAGCTTCCCTACATCCTTGCTAGGACTAGATCTTCAATTCTGTAGTTTTTGCTACTCTGATGAATAAAACATTACATCTTCTTGTTTTAATTTTATTTTCCTATTAATATGGCAAAGCATTTTTGTGCATGTTTACAGACCACTTAGATTTTTATCTCCTCATAATTACTTAATAATATCATTGCTCCATTTTTCTTTCTTTTAGGCCTTTTTCTATCAATATATACAATGAAATTAAATTAGCTTTCTGTCTGTCATTTGGGCTGCAAATAATTATGTCCAGTTAATCTTTTGGTTTTTATTTAGCTTATGTTGTCTATCTAATACCAGCCAAACACTTTTATTTTTATGAGTCAAATGTATCCATTTTTTTCACTTATGGTTTCCAAGTTTGATTTCTGAGAGAAGGTCCTGCAAACTCAAGATTATACAATAGTTTTCTAAATATTTCATCATTTTGCTTGGGTCACATTCCTTCTTTTTTCAGTATGATGGAGAGAAATATTGTTCTACTATACTTTGGAATCCAGCATTGGGGATGAGAAGTTTCATGCTAGTTTTATTTTTCTTTACAAATAAACTAGAAGTGTGTTTGTTTGTTTGTTTGTGTGGAGGCGATTGCTTTTTAACTACACTGCCGGAAAATGTGAAAATTTTTCTATTTATTTTTGTAATTCAATAATTCCACCAATGTATATCTAGGTTTATATATATTTTCATTAATCCTACCTGGCCTTCAATGCCTTTTAAATTTATAGACCTTATTTTTAAAATGCATTAATTTTAAAATTTTCAATTCTCCTTCATAAGTTTGTTCTCCTTCTCCTTCCCATTGGTTACATGTTGACCTTCTGGTTGTTCGCTCCACGTTTCTGAGCTTTGCATTCATGATTTCTCTCTGTTTTCACTCTGTTGAGAGAGATGTCCTTCACTGGCTCTTCCAAGTCACAAATTCGCTTTTAATAAGTAACTATTTTCTTTTTTTGTCAACAATTTTTTAAATATTTTAATTTCATAAAGCATTCTTTGTAACCTTGTCACATCTCTTTGAGTTTTATTATCTTTGTTTTCAAAAGCATCTGTGAACTCTTTCATCCACTTTAGTGGAAGTCATCTGTCACAGAGCTTACCTAGGAATCTTTCTGTGAGTGACTTCTAGTGAAGATTATTTTTGTTTTTGTTTTTTCTTGCTTAACGGTTTCATGCCTCTTTAGCAGCCACACAGATCTAGCTATCCATGTGTCTTAACCAGGGACAGACCACCAAGTGGGAGCTTGATTTAGATTCGGAGGCAAACAAACACCACTCATTACAGAATCATTTAAAAGATAACCTCTTCTGGCTTGTTTTCTTTCCAAAAAGAAGTATATTACAAATAATTTTAAGGTTTAAAGGCAATTTATCATTATTTCAATGTGGTTTGGGGACTCATGAGTTCTAAAATGATATAAATGTTGATAAGAGAGTTACATTTAGTATCTACCTATTACTCAGTAGAAGGTAGTAAGACTAGTTGAGTCACTATGGCTCATGTACACAATGAATTAATGTCACTAGCTCAGGATATTGCTCAAACTGACCCTTTTCACTTATAAAATACTTCTAACCAAATGAGAAAAAAGTTAAAAGCAACCTGGTGACATTTTAAAAAAAGGAAAAGGAATTATCAACTTTTATCTTCACTGTGTGTTTTTAGAGAAGAATTTTATTTGTTTTTTAAAGTGCCCTCTAACCCTGTCTCTACTAAAAATACAAAAAATTAGCCAGGCATGGTGACGTGCGCCTCTAGTCCCAGCTACTTGGGAGGCTGAGGCAGGGGAATTGCTTGAACCCGGGAGGTGGAGGTTGCAGTGAGCTGAGATCACGCCACTACACTCCAGCCTGGGTGACAGAGCAAGACTCCATCTCAAACAATAAATAAATAAATAAATAAATAAATAAGTGCCCTCTAATAGCTAATGATAGATTGGTATTCAAAAGAAAAGGAAACAATGAGGAAAAATATCTCAACCTGGAAAAATTTGCCAGTCCCTGCCATAGAGGAAATCGTAGCCTGGCATTGGTCTGTGTCATCATTCCAGTTCCAAATTGGAGCACTAGACTGTATTGTGCCTTATCTCCCAGTATGCTAAGAAACCAATTATAGTAAATAATATTGCCTTAAGGGATTTTTCAGAGCCCCTGAAAAAAGATCAGTGCAATAACCTAGGACCTTAAAGGTCAATATTTAGTTGTAGGAAATATACAATGTTCAAAAACATAGTTTTATTTAATATTACTTTTTCAAAACATATTAAACAATTAACATTTTACAACATTTTTTTGTGATCCTTTGGTGACCAGCAGTTGAAGAATACAGCAGGATAAGCAATAAAATAAAAATACCAAATATTTACTAAAATAATATTTCAAGAAAAACATAATGCTCTTATATCAATCCAAATAGACTTATTTAACCGACAACCTTTAATGTAACTATCAATCAGATGTGTTGGATATTCAGTTCTTCCATTTCCCACACACTGCAAAAAGCTACACGTTTCTCTGACTCGCATAAATAATAAATGGTCCTTTGTACAGAGATGAACCTTTATTGTTCAATCCCTCAATCAAAATGGAAAACCATATCCCCAGGCAAGAGGCGCACTTTAGGAGATATGGGATTTAAAACAAAATTAATGTTGCAAAATAAGAAAGACAAGATTGAAATATATATCAGGACAATAATATCCAAATAACTTTAGCAAGGGATCCTGAAAAAAAAAAAACAAGAAACAAAAACAAAAGCTATTTAAAGCATATGTGCAGAATTTCCTCAAAGAAAGGGGAAAAGCTTGATCTAGACAGGGCACTAACCCTAATGGTGAAAGCTCTGGACTCTGTTTCACATTATGCCACTGAAATTGCTGTGAAGATCTGAGCCACACACTGTGTCTGTTGTTGGGTCCTAAATATTTGTCCTTCAAGCCTTCTCAATATTCATCCATAGAATCTATGTCATAATGAGCCCAGAAGCATAAACACTTCAATAGGAGAGTTACCAATAGAGGATATCCAACAGATAGAGCCTATTTCTTAAATTTTCATTATGCCAAGAACAACAGGAGGTTTCTGGAAAGCATGAGGTAACTATTGGCCTATTTAAGAAGCTCTCAGTTGATGGAAACATGGATAGTCCTTCTTGGCGTGTCTTCTTTGTTGCCTGCTTTCCTCTGCAGCTTAAATAGGAAATGGGCTGAAAAAATTGGTAAATCAGAGGACACGCATGGCTTCATTTCCAAGAGTTGGACATTTTGGAAGCAATTAGGAAAGGCCTTCAGGTTTGCTCTTGGACAGGTATTGTTCCAGGATTTTGAAGATATAAGATAACAACTCAAATATCCACACCCTCATCCATTTTACTTTGGCATTGAGACAAAGGTCTTATGACATTGCATTTCCTCTAATTCTCAATGGTGTGTAAGGCCAAAGTTGTGATATCCAAGCCCAGGTTTCAGTTGGAAGGTGAAAATGAAGTGAGTGAGCTTTTTAGCCTCTTTGGTTTTAGGTCATTCAATATACTTTGTTGAACTGAAAAACTTCTCTTAAATTTATACGACAAGTTATCCAGCCAAATCTGTCTTTGGAGTTTGTGTTCAAAGCTCCAGCAATAACAATATGTTACTTATCCTTGATTTGTCTCCTCTGTGGAAAAGTTTTTGGGGACTTTCTAGGTGACAATGGCCAGTAAAGATCTGGATGTAGAAAATCTTGGTCTCTTGTCCAAATACTGTCATAATGCTGGTCTTAGTAGCATAAAGGCATAGCCACTTGCTTATCATTTTGATCTGACTCTGCTGCCACAAAAAGTACAAACTACACTGTCAACATTTGAGCAATACAAATCTTCTATGAGTTGTGGGTTGAGTCTACTATTGTCTTTGCAGTGAAACTAGTGGGTATGTATTAAGTAGTTTCTACCTGATGAAGAATCACTCTGTCTCTGTACCTTTTGCAGAGTGGGTAGACTTCCAGGGGTGATGTTTTTCAGCTAAGTCAATGAGGCTTAAAACCTTGAAACCTTAAAAAAAAAAATTCCAGCATTCAGTTTACAAAAGGGCCAGGCTCAAGAGGTCAATATTAGTGTCAAAGTCAGAATTCACTCCTCACAAGTTCTGGAGAGCCAATGTCCTCTACCAACCTAAGTTGATTCCAATATGACCTTGTAAGATCTAGTTAGAATAAGGATTTTCAGATCCTCAAAGTAATGTGAACTCCTTAAGGTAA